CTATATATATATATATATATATATATATATATATATATATATATATATATATATATATATATATATATATATATATATATATATATATATATATCGGGGGCGGTTCAGGTGAGAATGCACCTTGGTGAAAGAAATAAGAATAAAATCTAGCCTTTGGATCTGATGCATCGTGCGTCTCAGATTGCATTCTGCACTCAGATTTTGAGATAGTGAATTTTTAAAGGATTTTAGTGCATTTTGACATGATGCATTTTCAAATCATTTTGGTGCACCTAATTTTCATGCAATCCTGACCCTTAGATCTCACAATCTAGAGCACCAAATTCATTCTTATTTCTTTCATAAGATTTCATTCTCACCTGATCCTCTATATATATATATATATATATATATATAGACACACACACACACACATAAATATATATTCATTTATACATACATACATACATACATACATACATACATACATACATACATATATATATATAGATACATACATACATACATACATACATATATATATATATATATGTATATATATATATATATATATATATATATATATATATTTCACGACAAACTTATAGTTTCATAATCCAGCAACAAAATAAGTAAAATTCCAAATATTTGTGTAGTTCAGTGTTGGGACTAAATACCTGAGCAAGGTTTACATAACTGGTCATGGACAACAAACTCAACAATATACGACTGTTCAAGGATTGCCCCTGCAGAACCTCTTTCTGAAGTTTAAGCTTGACTCGGATCCTCTTGGAATGAGGTTCGGTCCAGATGAACTCGGCATCCACCAAACGAGCTTCATTAAAATCTTTCAGCCTCTCCACATAGAATGCAAGAAGATCTTGGGATTCAGGCTGGGCTTTAATCCAAAATCCAGGAGGCTGTAAATAGCTTTCACAATCCGGGCAGTAAGTAAGGGTGACATGTTTCTGTAACCCTTCAGTTATATCAACCTCCGAGCGTAAACAACGGGCACACATATTGAAATCATTAGGCTGTATGGGCACACCACATTTGCAGCACGGGACATCGCCATTTGTTTGAGAGTCATTGGACCTACCTGAATCTTCTCCCATCACTATGCCTATATATGGGATTGACTCCGGTGAGATGACACCTTGTGGTAAGATGACATGTTTCAGTCAGATGCCGCTGGAGCTCACCACTGATCACTGCAAAGCTCAGAACTGATCACTGCAAAGCTTACCACCGATCACTGCAAAACTCACCACTGATCACTGAAAAGCTCACCATGATTTTCCAACACTTTACTTTTTTTCGAATTATGATGGTTAAATGCTTATAATGCCCAGCAACAAAGCTCACTGACTCTCATTGCAAAGCTCACCGAAAATGTGCACAAAGCTCACCACACTTTAAAGTTTAAAATGATTTAAAAAAAACAAAGGGCGGTGGTGCTGACTTCCAACTGCTGCAGACTACCGCTGTGGACCGGTGGTTGACTGTTGGTGAGCTTTACACTTAGACCACCCATGACCATTGGCCACCACCGATGACCCCCACTATCACCGTGGATCGGTGGTTGAGCGGTGGTTGATTGGTGGTTGAATGGTAGTGCTATTTTTTAACTTTTTTTATTAAAAAATGTGGTGAGCTTTGCTTTGACAGTTGGTAAGCTTTGCATTGGCAGTTGGTGAGCTTTGCATTGGCAGTTAGTGAGCTTTCCATTGTTGTTTTTCCAGTCTGGGTCAACTTTGAGCATCTCCCTTTGCACCTTATTCAGTATCAAGCTTTATACACCTTAGCTAGCCGTCTTGGTAAACCTTTGATGATGGATGAATACACTGCTAACAGAGATCGAAGGGATAGTGCTCGTGTGTGCTTGGAGTTGGACCTTTCCCAGCCACCTCCTCCTATAATTCACATACGTATGGGAGGTAAGGATATCTTTGTGGATTGCACTTATGAGAACAGGCCATGCTACTGCACCACCTGTAAAAAGATTGGACACTCTTCAACAAGGCACACCACTGCTCAGCCCACCGGAAAAGTTCCCTCCGGCAAGGGTAAGGAGGGCATCCCTGATTCAAATGTCAACAAATGGATAAAAGTCACAAGCAAGAAGCCAAAAGGTACAAGTCATGTTGCAGCTAAATCAGCTCATAATGTCACAAAATCAGGGCCCACTATCTATGAATGGAAAAAGAAAGGTACAGCTCATCTCAATTCTTTTTC